CTCGAGGGGGGGGGGCGGATTTTAAAGAAATTTTCGAAAGTTTTATCATTTTTTTCTAGGTCGACCAAAGCACTGTTTTGTCCCTATTTTGGTCAAAATTTCTGCGGGTTTTTAGGGTTCTTAGGGATTCTAAGGGGTTTTTAGGCACTTTTTCCAAAATATTGACCAAAAAACGAGGTTTTTTGGCGCTCGCTGCCCCCTCAAAATTAGTTTATACTGGCGAGCGCCAAAGGCGCCTTTAGAAAATTTTCAAATTCCATCATCAAAAGTGGATATTGCAAAATAGTACAAAGTGGGGACTCTTTGATTCGGTAGGGGGTCGAATCACTGAGGGGAGGGAGCGTTCGCCCGTCCCCCCTAAATCCGCCCCTGCATGTAAAAAAGAACGAGCGGGTTCTAAAAACCTTTGTTGATTTTCAACAAATTAAAATCTCCAAATGACAAAGAGAATAACTTTAAGTCCGCTGGTTTTTAATGCTTGTGTTGATTATGAAACTTTCATTTGACTGCTGCGAGCGAAAAAGCCCGTGTCGAGATCCCGCTCAAAAACCGCTCAAGATTTGAGCGGTTTGAGCGGTTTTCCAGCAAGATTTGAGCGGTTTGAGCGGTTTGGGTGGTTTGGGCGTTTTTTTTTGGAAAAACCGCTCAAACCGCTCAAATCTTGCTTAAAAGACCGCTCAAAAACCGCTCATTTCTTGCGGTGATTTTTGAACGGTTTTTCAAGCAAGATTTGAGCGGTTTTTGAGCGGTCTTCCCGGGTCGAGGTCCCAGACTCAACGTTTCTCTTCTCTGCAAAACTCGAACGAACACGTTCATCCAGGGGCGACCAATATGTAGCAATTTTCCAAAAAGTGCCCAAAAACAGCATTTTTGACCAGCTCTTTACGTCAACAACCCCACCCCCCCCCCCGCCAATGTACTCCTTCCCCCCAACGTACCCCCTCAACGTATCCAACATCCAACAAACCCCCCCACCAACGTACCCCCCCCCCCCCCCTCAACGTACCCCCAACCCGCGACGTAACCCCCTCACGTTCAACGAACACGTTAAACTTTGAGTCAAAACTACTCAATAATGTCATCACTACACCGCTTCTCGCTAAAACAACCGCGTTCGTAGCCTCGCATCGCAACTCTCGCGAAAAACATGTGCAAGGACCGGAAGTCGGAAAAATATAATCTTTAGTAGAAATAGCTCAACCCTTAGCCTAAATTATGACCCTACCTCAACCAAAGATAGCAGATAAACTCAGCGATGTACCGACACTTGAAAAAATTTTGTCATCAGCATTGCTCCTTTCATTGGATTTATGGTTTTACACCTTGTAGCGATATATTTTTATCACCAGTGCTCACCAGTACGATTATGGGAATCACCAAGTACGATTCGCTGTATTATATTCAGTAGAACAAATACAGCGAATATTAGACAACGGACTTATTCTGTATCCGTTAGGCAGCGTACAAATAGAGAATAAGTCCGCATAGCCTAACGGATAAGGCGTCTGACTTCGAATCAGAAGATTGCATCTTCGAATCCCTCTGTGGTCGACTTTTTATTATTAAATCTTGCGCGGTTTTTGAGCGGTTTTTTTAGATAAACCGCTCAAAACCGTTCAAATCTTGCGCGGTTTTTGAGCGTTTTTTTTAGATAAACCGTTCAAAAACCGCTCAAATCGCTCAATTTGAAGCAAGATTTTGAGCGTAATTGTCTAAAAAAACCGCCCAAACCGCTCAAATCTTGCTTCAAATTAGGTGAAAAATCTCGACTCGGGAGTTCTTGAGTCTTTAACAACATTTTAAAATTGAGTGGTTGTGAGTTTTAATTTTTGAAATTACAATCTTGAAGAAGAAATACCGTACGCTTTTTTTAACAGACAAGGTAATCATAAAAAAAACTATCTGAAAACGTCTTGCTGAATATTTGGGAGTTGTTTCATACACCAGCGAAAACACCATGAGCAAACTCAAGTGGCACTGATTGGATTACCTGGCAAAGTGAAGACTTTTTACAGTAAAGAGAAAATGTCGTTCATCAATTCTTTCGTATCCAGTCAAACACAGTAGTAAGTAGTGATTGTTTGGCCTTTCCAAGAAAGTGACAGAAATATTATATGGGGTGTTTTTTTATTCGGACCAACTTCGATCTACTGAATAACCGTTTGTGAAATGATTTTTTTTCGAGAATGAAATTGTTTTAATCTAAAACTACGACACCCAAAAACAAACGTTATCAAGCTTTAATTTCAGCAAGTAAGGATTTTAAGCCATTAAATTAGGGTATCGTAAGCCTGCCCGCTCGCTTTAATCGCTCGCATTAAGACGAAAAACAAAAATTTCCTACCCGGTTTTTTTCCCGATACTGACAAAAATGTTTAAGTTTATTAATGTCGTTCAAATCACGACTGTAAGGTCTTGATGAATCACTACTTTATTTGTAGAAGCTGATTTTGCAAGAAAAACAAAAAAAAAGAAAAAACTAAAACACACCCGAATAGAAAGTTCCTACCCTTTTTCAGATAGTCGATATAAAATTCAATTTCATTGAAGCAATACGAGTGGTATGGTACTAACGAACGCACAATTTCTACTTCGGAAGCAGGATAAGCAGTTTTTGTAATGCAAAATAAGCATCCAGCTCTACGTGTATTCAAACTGCTTTTCTTCTGTCAGGGCAAAAAATTAAACGCTGTAGTTCAAAATATTTGAGACGGCTTTTGCAATTACCTAAGCTTTCAAAAAAACGTTGTTCAATTTTTGAATCATCAAGTGTAGTTGAAAATTGTAAGTTTTGTAATTGATTTTCTGTGCAGCTCTGAAGCCAGGTTACAAAATCTAGGTAGTAATTAGTACAAAGTTGAAAAGTTTTCTAACTCTAACATTCAATGATTTTTGATTACCCTTCGAATGCAAAGGTACCAGAAATTCAACAAAAAAATTTTAAGTATTCATAGATATGTAATTTCTTTACGAAGTACAGTTTTCGTTTTTGGCTTATTTCTTCTGTGTTTTCAGTTCTTCTTTTAAAACAAAAATTTTTCAGAAGTCGTTGAATTTTAGGTTCAATAGTTTCTAATTTAGTTTTGCCTGTTGACGCACAAGCCAAAACCACGTACTGTAAAATGGGAAAATAAAACATAAGCGTTATATGCTTTCAGTAGTTGGTCTTTACCTAAAAATTTTCTCAACTTGTAATATTTACCACAAAAACTCGACATTATATTTTTAATTTTTGTAATATGATCTAAAAAGGAAGGCTTAGAGTGAATTTGAACAGCTAAGTAACGGAAGGATTGTTTTCTCTTCAATAGTTATTCCATTCATTTGTTCATCTGATTTTCTGCTGCTCTTCTTAGATAGTATCATTGTTTTTTTTTTGTTTTATCTTCATTTAAGGTCAGCTTGTTTTTTTTATAACCAACATGCTGTTTTGTTCATTGCTTCCTGGTTTCTACCGTTTAACTCACTGTTTCTAGCTATTTTTGTTATAACAGTGTTGTCTGCATATAAAATCAGAATATAAACACTTTTTTCTGCTCATAGAATTTTTATCATAAGCAATATGTTTTGCCAAGTTTGGCCAATTAGTGGCTCTAAATTGTATAAAAACGGATAATTTCCCCAATCGGTGCCAGGCACTCCAGCTAATTGAATTGCACAAACATTAAACTCAGCAAGGTTTTTGCCCCAACTGTTAGGAACGGATTGATTTTCCCTATCACTGCTTAAAAGTTGGCGTCTACTTCATAATATAACGATATGATGAAGTTTTTCTATGAACTTGAAAAATTATTATCAACACTCATTGTCTTTAGGAAACACGGAAATTAAAGGGAACAAAATAAAGAATTAAAAAACGGCGATTTAATTTTTATCGAAAAACGCTAGTCATACAGTTCTAATCAAAGAGAAAATGCCAGTCTTACAATTCAATGGTTTATACAATTGCTTAAATATGTGGAATGTATGAGGTTTCAAGCGAAATCTAAAAGTATCATTTTCATCGTCCGGCAAAGGTTTAATAGTTTAAAATCGGACTATGGTTGGGATAATGAACTAAAGCTTCGAGTAAGTATGTTTTTTTTTACGTATAGTCACGTACTTCAAATGCTTCTGCAAACGGATAGTCAGGTGCTACAAATAAATTACAGTAAATGAATTCTACTGATGATTTATTTTAAAGCCTGTTTACTCATTCATTTTTAAGCCTGTTTACTCATCCACGAGAGAAAGGTACAAGATACGAGTTGTACAGCTCATCACGGCGAACCGCTGGGATGGGTAATGTTGCCAGGCCCTGAAGCAAGGAACACGGATTGGTGGGCCTCGATCGAAATGAGAAAAGCAATCTCAATGTCGAGACATATTACTCGAACATTTTTAGTTACAGATAGGGATTGGTATTTTCAAATTGCAAATAGGGATTGGTATTTTCAAACGCTGCAACCTCAAATGGAAATAAAAGAAAAAAAAAGGACTTTCAAGCAGATAAAATTGGTCTTAAAAGCCTATTAAGCTGTCAATAACTGAACTTTGACACTTAAAGTAGTACTGTTAGTACCCCAAAACCAAAAACCTAAGCCCATAACCCCAGATAAACATTTTTTTTTTACAGAAAATTTTTTAAAACTTTAATTAAAACCGGTTTTTTGTTTCTTGGTTTTATTTAAATTTTTTTCTACGTTGTACTTTGTTTTTTTTATCATTCAGCTTAAATAAGTGGTGTTTTGCTTAACGCTAAAATCACGCTGTGGACCGATTTGTTCAAAGAATGATTTAAACGTTTCGGACAGAAGCTACTGCTGACCAGAACAAAATCTGTAAATAGAAATCATTTTCTTATGTTTTCCAAACTCCAAAACAAACTTATATATTAACTCTAGAATCCTTTAGTCCGAGGTTATCTAACAAACCGAACTATTTTGTTTCATTTGTGAAATGATCAAAATTGACTCTTCTTTGATCGCAACTTTTCTGATATTTCTGTTGCTTTTGTCGAATTTGAAATTACGAGCAGAAAATCGTCAAAAAACACATCTTTCATCCAATATCATAAATGGATTTCCGACGTTCAACCGGAAGTTTTTTGCGCGCGTGAGACCTTTACACTCTCAGACTTATTGTGGGGCGACTGTGATTCATAAACATTGGGTTGTCAGTTCTGCATTGTGTATGAAAAACGCAACAGGTGAGCTCACTAATAGCTGAAAAATTTGCCTATGTTTTTTCTACATCGTGATGGACTAAGTTTTAGTGGATGGGGAGGGGGGGGGGGCTAGGGGGGATGAAGAGGGAGCTAATTTTGTAAATTTGGCTTTATGGCCTTATACGTAAAATTCTATCGGTGTATATAAAACATAACAATCATAAATGCACACGACAGTTTAGAAAATTTCCATCAAAATAGATACACAATGCAATATTTTCAAACCGTTTTTTCTCGGCTCTGAAACAATTTTGCTCTCGGCACATAAACAAAACTTTGGAAAACTTGCATTTATTGTTCCGCCTTTCAAAAAAAATGGAATATTTATGCTTTTGAGGTTTTTTACTCAGTCAGTTTTCGACTTTTTTGGTAAATGTTTTCATACCATCTAAAAAGCATTATATGATCTAAAAAATCATGTTGACTCGAGCTGAAATTCAAAAAACTTCAGCTGTCATATTATTTTTTGAAGTAACGAGTGTTTAAAAATTGCCAATTTATCTAATTTGGCATAATTTATGAGCTATTTATTTCGCTCTTTTATCACGCGTAAGCGGAGGATTTTTGCGTTCCAAACTGAAAAGAAGCAAGTCATTTGGTAAAGAAAGGGTACGAGACGTTAAAAACATCTTTTTTACTCCGACATTTGATGAAAGTGGCGGAGTAATTGTGCTCGGGTTGTTTTTTTCTGAACATTTTCGGAAAAATTGGGCATTTTAACTAGCGAAATTTTGACGCAAAGTTTTTAAACCATCCGAAAAAATTTTGTGTCTTTGCTCAAATTTAAAAAATATATTTGCCCGTGAACCATTCTGGAGCTCAGAGACTGCGAATTTAGCCAATTTAGCCAACTTGGTACAGTTCATGCGCTATATGTTTCATGCTATTAACGCGTAGCGGAGGTTTAATCCGTCTAGAAAATGATTCGTAATTGAATTGATACATGCTTTTCGGTCTATTAAGTACTTTACTATATATAAAATGAAATATTAAGTAGTTGAAAAAGTGTGCGGAGGGATTTAGAAAAAAAACGTGCCGAGTGAAAATAATTTTATTTTTTTTTGGAAAAAATATTCAATTTTTCTTAAATCGAGCACTACTCAGTAGACCTTAAAAGGCCGCTAGAACAAATGGGACCTCTATCTGATAAGAGCAGTAGTTTAGTTGAAAGTTGGGGATGAATGAAAAAGTTTTTGAAACATGCGTTCTTTCATTTTCGAATGTTTTGTTTACAAAAAAAAACTGTTTAATTGACCACAAAGGGCAGTCACAATGTTCAAAACTTCACACACAAGTATAGGCAGTCGTTGATCAGTTTTTTACTGTGATAACCCATTTGACGTTTTCTGATGACTACTGGTGTTTTTGAAATATAAGAAAAAATTAAAATACAATTAAATGCAAATTTTTAATATCCTTGAACGGAAGGAATAATAACAAATTTTAATTAATGACGGTATTCAATTTTTTCTAATTAAATGATAACTCACTAAAAACATAGCTCTTTTAATCAAATTATCTCCAGTTTCCCACCACTTTGAGGAAAATAGACATTTTATAAAAAAAAAAGTTTATGGAATTTCATAAAAGTTGGTTAGCCATTGATTTCGAATGGCAGGTTGTATTCTCATTAGGTTGTATTAGTTTCGGTATTCGCGGTGGTGTTGTGAATCAGTGTTTGCAAACAAAAATATGAATATCGAGAATATATTAAATTAGATAGTTATACAAAACCCTCAATTTCCTCTTTTTGAATATCCGATAGAGGGCGAAACTTAAACTAAAAAAACGCAAGAATTGCAGAAACTCACATATGAAGAACTAGATTCAACCAAACCGAGTCAAAACATTAAAATGAAATTCGAATACATAAGTCGCACAAGAAATTGCGATTGATGTTAATCCTTGCACTAGGAAAAAAAATGAACGTTTTTTCGGACAAAATTCATAGAATTCAAAATCGTACTAATTTCGTTCAAAAATTTTGATATCATTAAGCAACTGTTTATGTCGGTAAAATTAATGTCACTTTTACAATACACCAGTTATTTAATTAAATACAACGCAACTGAGAATCTTTAGAGTAATTCTGGAGCGCTTTTGCCAAGATGGCGAAAAAATTGCGATATCTCCGCAGGAGAAGTTGAATGGATCAGGGACATTTTCATAAGTAACATAAAATGTTGATAATCAGCGAAAACTTGAAATAAAACTCTACACCCAATGTAGCTTTAAGCGTCGCATTCATAGATAAAACTAAACTACAAACCTTTCGAGGATGGCAATCAATTTCAAATACAACGGATCTTCTCTACAAAAAGCTTAATTCAATTTGTTATCAAAAGAGATTCTACGCATAACTTAGAACGCAACAACAGCTGTGTGAAAAACTGCGATATATTTTCAGAGCAATCCTTAACAGTTTTCCCAGATGTCAATCTACCAGACTTTGTAACGCTGGTCGTAATAATGTAAGTATCGTGGATACTCAAACTGTAAATACGGGAAGAAAATGAACCATCGGAAGCACTGGATGTAAGCAGAGACCCTGCTGAGGGAATGTTTTGATGTGATCAGTGCATGGTCAGAACTCGGACAGAGCAATAATTCTTATTCTGTAACAAATATCACTACAATCTTCAAAATTACAAAACGACGGAAATAATTCTTAAAATTACTACAAAATTGCCTCGAAAAAGAAAAAGTTTTTTTTTGAAGATGCAAGTAGGTTCGTCAAGCTCAGCTTTTTTTTCTCAAAAAAATGTCCTTCAAAGTTTGAAACTAGGATAGCCCTACCTGAAAATCTATACGGTGGAAGAATCAACCAAAGAAAAACTGAGGGTCCATGGACAATTAATTAACATCATAGGAAAACTAGTAATCCCAATTTTCTCAAATGGATGGTTTCATGACGAATGCCACTTCCTCATAACTTCCGAAAGGAATCTTCTTGGAACGATTACCTGTTTAAAGTGGGAATAGATATCTCGCAGGAACCTTTCCCTTCCTCACAGACCAAAAAGACCCCGTAAGTACATGGAAACTGTTTCAATGGGCGATGAAGAAAATGAAATTCAATTGTTTACAGAAAATGAATTCAAAAGTTCAACGAATTGAAAAAATTGCAAACTGCTCATATTCATGAACCACTGAAATTAATACAGCTAAAAGGTAGAACCAGTAAGAACAGATTTAAATTGACTTAAATGAATAGGTCTTCTCAAAAAAAAAGAAAACTGTGTCAAGGGCATTTTCATCAGCCTGATCGTCATCACTTGTAATTAGGATAAATGCAACAAACAGACATCAGACTAAAAATTAATCAATCAGCAGATACAAAAAACATATCACAAACCAAACACATACGAGTTGATTGAAAACATTGCCTCCCGTTGGAGAAGTTTGTTTTTCAGGCCCTGGCCTAATAAACGTTTATAATTACTTTTATTTAGAAAAAATTACCGGGAATCAATGCAATGTTAGATTAGTAGGCAGCAAGATCTATCAATTTTAAGCCGGAGTTTAAGAATTTGGCGATAGGCCATATGCACTTTAAAAAGTCATCGACTCAATTATTGGGACGGAAACTTTTACGGACTGCTATATTGAAGACGTTTTTATTGCATTCAAAGAAAGTTTTTTTTAACACAAAGAAGCAATCTAAAAACTCAGAACCCAGAGTTGCTGGGATTCGAAATAACGGAATAAAGCATTTTGCCATTGGTTGATGAAAGCAAAGCTTTTAAAGGTTTTCCTATCTCAAATTTTTTTATTTGGGATGAGTTTTTGTTTCTTCAAACAAGTACATCAATTTTTTTTACCTAATTTAGCAAATTTGGGAAGCTCTTTACTGATTAAGAAATCATTTTTCTACTGGAAAATAAACAAGAAGCTAATAGTTTAACAGAAAAGATACACTTCATCGTTAAATTAAAAATATGAGCCAAGACAGATGCATTTTATAACAGATCGGGCGCAAATCTGGAACAACTCCTTAGGGTTGACTGGAAAACTGTAACAATCGCCTCATGAAATTAAATTCTTCGCGACACAAAGTATCCGACGAATGAAATAGAAATTCAGTGGAAAACTCAGGGCAAAAGCTACTCTTACAGTTCAAATATAAGGAATATTATCAATCACAAAGACCTAGTTTCAGCTCTTTTAACAAATCATGGAAACAAAACCTATCATAGTAGATTAACAACACAAAATGATCGACTTTTACCAACAAAACCTTCTGTAGAACAATCGGCAGAAAAAGACAGAGGGTTCACAGTTTTTATCAAGAATTCCATCTGGAAATACGATATCCTCATGTCTTTTTAATGAGGAGCTTGTGTTAGCGACAGTTGACAAAATCAATATGTCAAATTTTTCTAAGAATAGTCAAAAACCAAACTGCAATGCGATTGGTTCAAAATTGGAAAAATCAAATTACGCAAGATTACGTAATAACACTAATAGACTCGATTGTGAATTTTGTAAACAACGTCGCTGTTTGCTAAAAACTAGTAGTCAAGAGTTGAAAATGAGGTGAAAACATGAAGTTACTTGAAAGACCTAGGACTTGAAATCTCGGTTTAACGAAAAACTTACTGCGCTTCCAACAAAAGAATATTAATTTTTGAGTCCCATAGTAAAACAACTCAAAACAGAGTGTAAATGACAAACTGTAGAAATTGATTGCTAATTTCATCTTTTTGCGGTTCCTTGTTTCATTATACGCCAAAGGAATGTTATATATTGATCGCAAACTAGTTATTACTTTTAACCTCAGAAAGGCCGTTATGGGGGTATTACACAAATTCCATCAGGGCCAGTTGGGAATGAGTATCTATCACAATAATTCTGCTGATTACACTTCAATGGCCAATTTTTTTTCTTTGTCTAAATTGTTATGAATGTAAAAAACTGGTAAAAAATGTTATGAAATATTATCCCAAAGTCCACTAGAAGCAAACTTCTATTCTAATTTGAACCGAATGAAGAGTTAAATTTGGATTTTTTTTGGCGAACTCGACATTTTCAAACTTTTGAGAATACAAGAGCTATAAGACAACTACAAAAACTAAAAAAAAAATACAAGAGGTTCTTTCAAAATTTATTTGGAACTTATGATCGTCATATCAACCAGAAACAGAATGCCTGCTTTTCGGAATTCATTACCAACGAAAATCCAAAATAAGTTGGATTCCACTCGCATCTAATAAATTTTCAAATGCAATATTTGGCAAAATAAACGATTTTGAGCAAACAGAGACTGGAACGGAATGTTGATGTTAGGATCGAAGTAGGCTACAAGGTTTCAGCCATCGATAAGACAAATCAATGTTTGTGGAAAAAGGAAACCTTCAACCTCGAAAGCTTCTACGTCAAAAATCTCTACTCCAAGTTCCATTCAAGGATATTTTTCTGCGAAAAATGAAAAACAAATCTGGAATCCATTCTACAGGAAATTGAACGCGAAAAATCATAAGTTCAACTAAATTTACGATTAATTTCCCTGGCGGAAATTCATCACAAAATCTGACATTACCTCACGAAAATCGGAGTCAGCTCAACTTAGAGAACCTTTTAAGGAACATTCATTTTTCAGTGTTTCCCAACCATAATGTTGCAGTAGGTACCAAACGGAACACTACAAAACAAACAGCCAAGAATTCTTGGAGACCTGGTTCCAAATTCGGAAAAGAATAAAACTGGCAATCTCAGACAACAATATCCTCGCAGAATTCTTCTCCCAAACCATCTAGAAGACAACCTCCTTGCAGTATGAAGACCAAACCTACCACAGGTTAATTAGATTGTGGTGACTCCTTGTATATTCCCTCGGGTTCATTCAACATTAGTGATTGGAAATGGATACTTCCCTGATAGGAATACCATTGGCAAGCATTTTTTCAATTATTTTGAAGTGAAGAACCAATTCAGACATATTTTTTTCAATTTTACGCTAAATGGAGTAAAAATTGAAAATGTAGAAGAACCTGGCTTCAATGGCATGGAAATATCTCCTCTGGAATACTGCCCAATCAGCCTTATGCCAGCAAATCCAAGGACAGTAGAACACCAGCGCCCGGCCCTGGAGGTCAAGACGGGCATATTCCATCGAATCAACGCTCGTCAAGACCCTTAACGGAGACTTCAGTTGATTTTTCAGCTACGAAATCAAAGACTCTACGGGCGATGCATTAACTATACCACAGTAAAATAGTTATCAATGGTTATAACACCTTATTACGCAAATCTAGTCGTTACAATGGCCCGCCTAATTTTCCCAGTCAACAATTATTTATAGATTTTATAGATATACAATCGAAGCAGCTAACAACGAAACAGCTGACAACAACACAAATACATGGAATGACATGCAAAACAGAAATGAATACCGACGACGTACCATCACTATCAGCAACTGAAAAATCACTTTGAATGACAATAGACGAGTTCGAGGTAACGGTAGACACAGACCGATATTTATTCGATGCAGAGCTGAAAATTTGATATCGGGCTGAAATGAAAAAAAATCTTTACTCTATTGTTACTTGACTTGTTTTTTAATTCTGACTCCCCTCTTTGGTCAGGAGAAAATCAGCATTCACCTCTTTAGTTGCTGTTTTTTCAATTTACTTTTTTCCTACTTAAAGGAATGTTGTGAAGATCTGTTCAATAATCAATTTTACTTTTAACTACTTTGACCGATATTTGTCATTTGACCTTGGTACCTTCATTCTCTGCGACGGAGAGAATGCTCTCTCTCTCTCTCTCACACTTTTTAGCGTTTCAACTTTGAGATTAAATCACTCATTACTCTTATTTCTTTATAATTGTTAATAAAATTAGTTTTAAAAAAGAACATTTTAACAGATGTATTTTTAAGTGAAAATTTTGTGATTGTTTTTTTTATTTACATGCAAAAATCACAGATTAGGTGGAAAAATAACCGAAGTAACAAAAGCTGTCCTAGGTTTTTGTCTTTTTCCCAAAATCACCCCAAGAGTTTTTTGAGAACATGAGGTTGTATTATACTTATGCACATGAGGCTGTAATGAACAAGAGCTGGAGTTTGTTCAGGCGAGCGGCGGGTGGATTCTCATTCACAATTTTTGTTCAGTTTTATGACCATATTATATCTTTCTGAAGACTAACAAAACTCAAAAAAGACCACCAGCGCATCATTCAGTTGTTTTTGAATAGCCGTACGAAAAATGCAGTTTTGGGAGCTACGTAGTAAGCACACTAAATTTTCTTATTGAAATTTCTCAAACTGAAAAAGATATTTGAAATAGATTTCAAATCCAAATTGAATTTCATTTTTTTTTTGTATTTCATGGCACTAAATTGCAGATAAGTACCCAAACGCGTAAAAAAATTATTCATTTAGGCATACTTGACAATATTTGTTTTCAATAAAAAAATAACAGCCGAAATTCGAAGAAGTATTTTAAAAAATTTCCAAAATTTTTTCTTTAAGGAAGCGCTAAATGAAGCTTCAAATTCAGTTTTATTTTTATTAAAACGACGTTTTCTTAGCCTGAATGACAAACTTACACATAAAAAACGTAACTTAATCGCTTTACTTAAAATTTGTTAAAAACTTTAAAACTTAAGTTCGGATCAGTGAGTTGACAAAAAACCAGTTTCTACCTCCCACGCCACCCACCCCCCCCCCCCCCACCCCCATATCAGCATCATCGAAGTCTTTTAGACATGCCAATAATGACGTCAAATGTTTTGCGCTTCAGAAGTCGACTTCTTCGTAGAGGTTGGCGACTTCTCCAGTCTTACCCACAGAGTTCACGCATTCGGTATCAAAACTCTCTACATATCGCAAAGGTATTTCAGATGTTAGTCTACTGTAACTGATTTTCAAAAGTTAGCTATTTCATTATCAATTATTTTATTGTTTAGAAAAACTCAACACAATCTTTCCCAGGGGAGGATTCAGGGGGCACGGAAAGACAAACTTTATTCAAAACCGTTCAAAGAAGCCAATAAATGGCGTTTTCGGGTGTTTTCTAAACAATTGAGAAAATATTCTTGACAACTTTAACAAACGCTCAAATCTAGGATAAATTTGAAGAGTTTTTATTATAAAAGTGCCATTTTAGAACAGTTTCGAAGTCGGTAGATCAAAAACTGTTGACTGATAAACCCGCAGGCAGGGCTGATTAAAAACTCGCGTTTGATTTAGAGATCAAAGCCGGACGACTGACAGTTGGATTGCACTTATGAGAACAATGTATCCCATTGTCGGTAAGATAGTTCACACAATTTTTCAATAGTTCATTTCTGCTGAAATATTTAAATTCAACGTTTAAATTTGTTGATGCTAACGATGATTCTATGCTGCTATATGCACCATTATGAAAAGAATTAAAGGTAGTTTCAAGATTTTTCTCTTTAAATTTCGAGTCAAAACGCAAAAGTTTAGCTGGAATCGATAACTTTTTTATTCCAGTTTTCGCGAGTATTCGTGGCGATAAGCGAAGTTGTTATCATACAAACTCAACAAATTTTCGGATAATCTCCGTTCAGCCAGGCTTTATTGGAAATACTCAAACTTTCTTGAAATCCATTCGTAAGCTCCCATCTTCTTACATCTTTTGGCTAAGAAGAGCGAAAGAATAGGAGAAAAATGCAAAACTTAAATTCAAAGTAATCCGGGTTGACGACCGCGCAGGGATAGTCATCCTTGATTCAGCATTATACAATGAATCAGAGCTGCAAAATGTAGTGACCATGGACAAGTGGTCACTAAATAGAGTCTGAAAAAGCGATGATTTTTCAAACTGATTCAGTGTGATGATGGCTATTCCAAAAATCTGCGCTGATAGTTAAGCGCTTACTCCAAAGTTCATCGCTGTTTCAGAGATGGCTTAGCGCTAAATCAGAGCTGATTTATCAGTGCTGATTCAGAGATATTTCAGCAGTAATTGTTCCGACTTTCGATACGAAAGTAACGGAATATTTGTGCTCGGGCTGGTTTTTTTTTTCTTCAGACAAATTTCGACTTTTTAACTAGCCATTTTTGACAAATTTTTTTATATCATTCGAAAGCTATTGTTGTCCTGAGCTCAAATTTGAAAAGATATTTCACCTGTGATTATTTTTCGTAAAGTTAAGGGGTTTAAAGAATACCATTTTTGCTTATTTGGGACAATTAACGCGCGATATATTTCGCGCTATTAACGCGTAAGCTGAGACTTAATCCGTGTTAGAAATCGTTCCAAATTGGTTGAAAGAAGCTTATTTACCATAATTGATTTGTTACCAGGAGCGAAATCTATCCTTTTGTACTTTATATGGCGCGTGGGGGGATGATTTTCATTCAAGTAATAGAAAAAAAAAACAATTTTCATTTTATACTATTACATTTAATTTTTTGATGTTATTACTGCTCCATAGAACCTTAAAAGGCAGTCGGAACATTCAGGGTTTCGCCCTGATACGAGCAGTCTTGTTTTGATTTTTATCTAGGTTTGATCTGGGCCAGAAACAGCGATAACTATGGTAACGATTCAATTTTTTTTTTATAAAAGTCTAGAAATATTTTTGATGGAGGAACGGAAAGTTGAATAATTAGTTTTGAATACATTTCAACTGATAATTCTAAATGCTGAATGAAATCGCGGAAGTCGTTGAATGAGCCAAAAGTTCCGGGTCGTTAAAATCAAAATTTACCTATTACACAATAAATTGAATGAATATACAGTGCTGATTTAAATTATCCGGACAAAACGAACAAAACTTGAATTTTCAAACGCGTTTTTCTCAAATTGGGTTAAAATTAGACAAAAAACAACAGAACAAAAGTTGCTTAGAATTTTAGCCGAATTATTAAGATGTAATTTTTTCTCCGAAATTCTCAACCAAAATTTTACCCCAAAAATGGGTCATTTTGGCTTTTTTCAATTAATCAAGAATTACGCTGAAACTATTTTATTAATTGATAAGAATATTATATCATTAGAAGCCTCTTACGCAGCCCAACAAAGTTTAAGAGGGAATAAATCTCCAAAAAATTGAGCAAATAGTGTAAAATTTGTTTTTAAGCAAAGATTCTGGGTTTTATATAGTAAAAATCACATTTATTTATTATCAAGTGAAAATTTTTTCTCTTATACTGGTTTTTGGAGATTTATCCCTTCTTAAACTTTGTTGGACTGCGTAAGAGGCTTCTAATGATATAATATTCTCATCAATTAACAAAATAGTTTCAGCGTAATTCTTGATTAATTGAAAAAAGAAGCCAAAATGACCCATTTTTGGGGTAAAATTTTGGTTGAGAATTTCGGAGAAAAAATTACATCATAATAATTCTGCTGAAATTCTAAGCAACTTTTGTTTTGTTCACTTTTTGTCTAATCTTAACCCAATTTGAGAAAAACGCGTTTGAAAATTCAAGTTTTGTTCGTTTTGTCCGGATAATTTTAATCAGCACTGTATATGAAGTTTCAAATATTGCTAGATGGATGGTTCAGTGCAAGAGTGCAGAGCTTTCTATAACAAGGACTTCCGAAGACTAAAAAACTTCTGTAATTGCTTCTGGGGTCAACGGAAACAAACAAATAAGTTCTCTACTATGGTGTCCCAAAAATTGCTGGAGGAAACTACTACAGCAATCAACACAACCCATATGAAAGTTCAAAGTATGCTAAAATATTACACAACGGTTCATTTCACTCAAACCAAAATATGAGTTTTATCGGTATGGTAATATTTCAGACTCTTGAACGCCCCCTGCTAGATAGAAGACGCATTAGAAACATTTTTTCTCGAGGATACAAAGAAAATTTTGTAAAATGATATTTTAAATCTAGCGTGCCGATTCATTATATCATTTTACCCACTTTTCTTCATATCCTTGAGAAATGGTTTGTAATGCGTCTTCTATCTAGCAGGGGGCGTTCATCAGTGCTGAAACATTATCATACCGGAAAAAATGATGTTTTAGTTTGAGTGAATTGAACCGTTTTGTTTTGTTTTAGCTTATTTTGAACATTCAAATGGGTTGTGTTGAATGCTGTAGTTTCCTTCTGCAATTTTGGGACACCATTTTATTTAGAGGACTAACTTGTTTCTTTTTCGTTATAGTTCAATTTTTCTCAACTTTATAACGGTTAAGATTGGCTGAAAGTGTTCAATCAGTTGGTCCCTACCTTGTAGAAACAACCCCCTCGACCTTGTTCCAAACTGAATGAGTTTGAAGGACTATGATTTGTTCTCTTTAGGGGGGTGAATGTTGATAAGATATCAGTACCATGGCAAATCTAACCTTCTATAGTCCCCTTCCTAGACACCCAATAAAACATCATTTTAGGCATAAAAATTCGGGTCGCAATTATATAATTAACGTTTTCGCCAAGTGTTTTGGCTATGAGCAAGTAGCACAGAAAGTACCGACAAAAAAATAAGAAAACCAAAAACAAACAAAACTGCTCGTATCAGGGCGAAGCCCTGAGAGTTCCGACTGCCTTTTAAGGTCTATGGATCATTAATAAGACGAAAAATTTCAATGTAATAAAAAAAAATTTAAAAATTTCTTGAAAAAATTTGAGATTTTATGTAAAAACATCCCCCCACACGTCCTAATAAGTACAAAGTGATAAATTTTGCGCCTATTAACAAATCAATTATGGCATATTAACTTCCTTGAACCAATTTGAAACGATTTTTAAGACTGATTAAATCTCGCTTACGCGTTAGTAGCGCGAAAATTATCGAGCGTTAATTGTCCCAAGTTGGCCAATATGGCAATCTTTAAAGGCCAATAACTTTACAAAAAATGATCACAGGTAAAATATCTTTTCCAATTCAAGCTCAGGACAACAATAGCTTTTGAATAATATAAAAAAATTCCGTCAAAAACGGCTAGTTAAAAAGTCGAAAATTGTCTGAAGAAAAAAAAACCCACCCGAGCACAAATATTCCGTTACTTTCGTATCGAAAATTGGAACAAAAGTTTTCTGATTGCTTCAAATTTATAGAGAGGATCTGAACTAATGAATAATAATTAGGCATCTTCGATATATAGAAAAAAATTGCTGTTTTGCGAACAGTTTCAAAAGGAAAGAAAAATAACAAATTCCACGTGTAAAGTCGAAAGTGATATTTTTTTACAAATTTCAAAGTGTTAAATAGCTCAAAATGCATGCCTCATTTCAATTATGAACAATTTCTAAGACGGCTCAAATCTCCGCTTTCGCGTTAACAGCACGAAACATCACTTCACAAAAAATGGGTTGAATATCTTTTTAGTTTTGAGGCCAAAGTATCAAAATAATTCAAGTAGCATTTACAAAATTTTGCCAGAAATGCAAAGTTGAAAAGTCGGATTTTGATTGGAGAAAATAAACACAATGTGAACACAAACAATCCGTAGTTTTTTTCAAAGCCGGAACAATAATACTGCCCTCAATTTGATTTTAAAAAAACTTCTTAAAATGATGCGGAAGGGAGTTATTGTTCCGACTTTCGATACGAAAGTAACGGAATTTTTGTGCTCGGGTTGGGTTTTTTTTCTTCAGACAAATTTCGACTTTTTAATTAGCCATTTCTGACGGAATTTTTTACATCATTCGAAAGGTATTGTTGTCCTGAGCTCAAATTTGAAAAGATATTTCACCTGTGATCATTTTTCGTAAAATTATGGGGGTTTAAAGGTTGCCATTTTGGCCAATTTGGGACAGTTAACGCGCGATATATTTCGCGCTATTAACGCGTAAGCGGAGAGTTAATCCGTCTTAGAAATTGTTCAAAATTGGTTTAATGAAGCTTATTTGCCATAATTGATTTGTTACAAGAAGCGAAATCTATCCTTTAGTACTTTATATATCGTGTGGGGGGATGATTTTTATTTAAAAAATTTCGAATTTTCGAGAAAAAAAAATTCATTTTGTTTTATTACTTTTATTTTTTTAATGATGTTACTGCTCCATAAAACTTAATGGGCAGTCGGAACATGCAGGGCTTCGCCCTGATACGAGCATTCTTGTATACTTTATATTCAATGCTTTGCTGAAAGAAGTCTGAGAAACTGGAATAATAAGACGAACTTGAAAATTTTTAAGAACCGGAAAAATAAACTTTTTCGACAAAATGTCTTCATCTATTCAGACCCTGATGAAAAAATTCTGCCCATCTGCAAGGAGCCAGCTCTGCAAGGGGACCTAATTGGAACCAGTGGTTTGGGCCAGTTCTCCAAGACTCATCCTTTTTATCCGCGATCTCTGCTTGAGGCTTACTTCACAGTCAGTTACTTGAAGAGTGCCTTCATTCCATTCCTAGATGATCCACCTCTTTTTTGCAATGCTAAAGATATATGCACGGAAAAGCTACACCCAGGTCAGTAAGGAGGGTCTCTTCTGGGATCTCTTTAACCATCCCCCTTTTGCAAAAGGGGGAGATTCGTTATACTAGGTGCAAAAATATATATGCTCAACCGTTGAATTAGTTCTTTATAGGGATGATGTTATTTTTTAATAGATTTCACAGGGGGGGGGGGGGTAGTGATAGAGATTTCTTTTGTTATAAGGCCTATAAATTATATCTTAATTATTTTGAAAATTGGATCATAATGCTCAAATTTGATGGCTTAAAATTTATTCCACCAAAAAATCGCGATTTCTAAACACAGAAGCTCCATTAACAATTTGCATTTGATTTTACTAGTGATTTAACTCAACGAACGCTGTGATTTTACTAGTGTGGGCGGGAGGAATCCTCCCTCTCAGATAGACCACGATAAAATCTTCCACCCAGCATTCAATTCGGATGATTCTTTTGCAATTTGCGATGCTAATAACATTTATAATAATTGGGTAAATTACCTGAGGAGAGTAGTACACCAATTGTTAATAAGGGTAGTTTTAAGGGTTGAGTCAAAGGAGTTCCATGCAGTTGGGCATCAGTTGAGTAAGTACATGAAAAATAATACAATAGTAAATCAGGGATAAAACTAAGGTAAATATAATATCATAAATAGGGATATTATATTACATGGTACGGGGAATACTAAAAGGCGAACGTTAGAAAAGGGGAACTGTTAATAAGGGGGTTATTCAGAAAAGTTGATATTAATCCCGAGTTTTCGTATAAATTGAAACATTATTTTACCTGAAAGTTTGTCATTTCCTTGTAAGTCATGCTGTTTTTGAAAAGTTGAGAGAAACGTGTGAGTCAGCTTGGCTGTAATGTCAAAAGTCAAGTTGAGAGAAAGGTGACCTTAATTGTTTACAATTAACACCCGCCCACATTTGCAGAGCTTGCAAATAAAGTATTGAATAAAATAGTAAGGATACGGTAAAATACAAAGATAAGGGAACCAGTAGATAAGGGAACCAGAAATTGTTCTTTTTCATCTTCATCTTGGTTTGTCTATCGTTGAGCTGATTGTCTTAGTTGAATTGACGAGTCGTAGATTTGTTCATCTTTGTCGAGTTGATATGTTGAAGGCTGAGTTGCGTGATTATTTGGTTGGTTAGCTATTTGGAGCTTGGTTACTGCGAAACTGGGAAAACGCGGCTCAATTTGACCACAGGTCGAACTTTGAATCCAGTTGGCGTTTTCAGCTTCACTGAGCGGACTATTCCATCTTGTCCAGGAAAGGTTTCCACCACTTTAGCAAGAGGCCACAGTCCACGAGGTGTAAAATCCTCCAACATCCAGACCATGTCGTCGGGTTGCAAATTGGAAGTCGCAGAAGTCCACTTTGATCGTTTCTGCTGACCTGGTAAGTACTCTCGAAGAAAGCGATTCCAGAAGTGATCTGCGAGTAGTTGGGATGCTTTCCATGATTTTGACAGAGATAAATCCTTGTCCTTGAAGATACCAGGCGGTAAATTTGGAGTTCCACGACCAAGAAGGAAATGGTTGGGAGTGAGAGGCAGATCATCTTTGATGTCGTCAGACACATTGTTTAAAGGTCGTGAATTCATGGTTGATTCAATTTCGGTCGTGAAAGTAGCCAGTGTTTCATAGGAGAGTGTTCTTGATCCGATGACTTTGTACAGGGAAAGTTTAAATATCTGAACTAGTCGTTCCCAAGAACCACCAAAATGAGGGGCCGCAGGAGGGTTGAATTTCCATTCGAGTGATACGTCCAGCTGATTGATGCTTTCCACAAATTCTTTGTTCTTTTCCAAGTTGTCTAGACATTTCTTCAGCTCAGAATTGGAGCCCACAAAACTTGTCCCACAATCAGAAACCATTTTCGATGGTTTTCCTCGCCGGGCAAAAAAGCGTCTGATACAAAGAAGAGTGCTGTCTGTCGATAGTCCTAATGAGATTTCAAGATGCACAGCTCTGATCAGTAAGCATGTGAACAGTAAAATATACGCTTGGTATTGTTTTCCTTGAAGGATGATGGGAAAAGGTCCAACGTAGTCCAATCCAGTCGTTGCAAAAGGAAAATGATTTTTTGATGGCAGTCGATCAATTGGAAGATCTGACATCTGAGGGTAGTCGACTTGTTGTTGCATTCTTCTGCAGGGTATACAACTGTGTATGATACTTTTCAGCATGACGCGGCAGCGAAGAATCCAGTAGTTTTCCTGTGCTATGGCCATTGCTTGTTCCTTTCCGCAGTGGGAATGTAGAACATGGATGTTAGCTAACAGCAGGCGAACATTGGGGTTTTCACCAGCGAGAATGATTGGATATCTAGCTGATAGCATGATAGGGGCACGCGTGAGACGTCCACGAGAACGCAGGATACCGAAGTTGTCCACAAACGGTGCTAATGTTCGAAGTCTACTTTTGCCTTCAATTGGTTTTTCTTTTTTGATGTCTGAAATTTCAGAGACAAAATCTGTCCTTTGGGCAGTTTTAATTATGAGAAAGTGCGATTTCGTTAGATGCAAGAGTTGAAGATCGACCTTCGACTGTTTGTTGATCTTCCGTTTGAGATTTTCTGCGAATAAGAAGCAGTATGCAACTGTCCGTATTAGTCTTTTCCAGTTGCTGAAGCGTTTGATGTCAAATATAGGCTCAAATTTAGCCTCTAATGAAGTAACGAATACAGGAATGTTCTCAAGCCGAATGTTTTCCTGTGAAGGCCATTGAGAAGAATCGTTCAACAGAAATTCCGGTCCTAGTAGCCACCGACAGCTTGAGGTCATTTCTAAAGCAATGTATCCTCTGGTACCGTCGTCAGCAGGATTTAGCAGAGTTGGAACGTGAAACCACTGTTCAGGTTTAGAAACGTCTAAAATTTTCTGAAGCCGATTAGCGACGAAAATTTTGTGTCGTATTTCAGGTGTTCGCAGCCAATACAAAACAGTAGTACTGTCAGACCAGAAATAAGTTTTTTCAACTTTGAGGTCAATTTCCTCTGAAACAAAGAGCGATAGTTGGGCAGCATATACTGCAGCTTGCAACTCGAGATTGGGAATTGTAACACGTTTCATAGGAGCGACTCTTGTCTTTCCTATTATAAACTTCAAAGATGTGGAGCCGTCGCTGTAGACTATTCTTAGGTAGCAAACAGCAGCGAGAGCGAATTCTGATGCATCACAAAACGTGTGAAGCTGGATTGAAGCAGGGTTTTCTTTATCAAAGAAGTTCCTTTGGAATGAAACAGTTTCGAAATTTTCCATTTCGTCTACCCAAAGTTTGAAATCGGGAAGTTTATCCGTGTCTAATGGAGTATCCCACTTAACACCTTGTGACCAAACAGATTGGAGAACTTTTCGAATCCGAATTGTCAATGGAGCCACTATTCCGAGTGGGTCAAATAAAGAAGCGGTATACTTCAGGAGTTTCCGTTGCGTAGCAATGCCAATACGTAGAATTTTTACAAACTTTTTGTTATCGATGAAGTAGCAGTCAGTGTTGGTATTCCAGTGAACACCGAGAACTCGTTGATGTTTAGGCGTTGGATCATTAGGGCTGACTAAAATATTTGGATCAATTGAATCCAGGAATGGTTTACTGTTTGAGTTCCACTTATTCAAGTTGAACCCACCTCCAGATAAAGATCCTCGTAGTTGTGTCATTTGTTGGAGGGCTTCTTCTACCGTTGACGAAGTGACATACAAATCATCCATGTAGATATTCCGTTGAATGATTTCAGAAGCCAGAGGAAAGTCGTTTTTACTGTCTGATGCACATCGTCGTACTGCGTAGCAAGCCACGCATGGTGAGTCTGTGGCACCGAAAATGTGTCGTGTATATTCGTGAGTTTCTAATTTACCATTTTCTTTCCAAAGGTATCTTAGAAAAGGTCTATCCTTTGGGCTGACTAGCACTTGCATAAACATAGCATCTATATCAGCAGATATTGCTATTTTATTTTGTCGAAAGCGAATTATGAGACCTGTTAAGTTGCACAAAAGATCGGGCCCTTTGAGCAAACTCGAGTTGAGGGATTTACCCTGAAAAATGCTGGAAGCATTTGAGACTCGTCTAACTTTGTCTGGTTTGTTGACATTTGTCACTGGATGATGCGGCAAATACCAAGATTTGATTGCAGTGTCATGTTTTGCATCTATTTTGGTGACAAAGCCTTTTTCTAAGTCAGTGATGACTGTTGCGCGGTATTTTTCCCTTAAATCAGGTTTACTTTTAAGGCGAAATTCGAGGCTGTTGAGTTGCTTTTCAGCTAGCCAACGGTTATTTGGAAGATCAGTATCCTCTTTCCAAAGAAGGTCAATTTGATAGTGACCATCTACTTAAGTACAAGAGTTTTCGAGAATATCGATTGCTCTTTTATCCGATTTGGAGTGCGAGCGTTTTGAAGAAGCGATGCCTGTGTTTTCTATTTTCATCCAGTTGAGAACTTTCTGGTATAATTTTTCATCTAAGTTATTGTGTGAATGAACTTGTGTGAAGTTCACCGGAACAGATGGAACGGAATTATATTGCGTTTTGTTCCGACCTGTGCATGTCCATCCCAAAAGGGTTTCGATAGCCCAGGGAACATTCTTGGGGCCATAAACGGTATTTTTGATCTCATGATATTCTGGATTGTTGTTTCCGATGACTAGCGATATGCTATTGTCGTTTAAGTCCGGGTATTTAACATGCTTTAAAAGTAGAAAATTGTTGCACATTGCGTTTAGTTGAAAAATATCAACTGGGGCCAAATTATTTTCATCTACCGTGAGTACGTCATCGAGCGTCATTGGAGTCGATGTGCTTTTGTATGGTCTAATTTGTACATCCACAGATGTAACTTGAACTGACTTGGTCTCATGATATCCAGATATGGGAAGTGAGAGCTTCTTATTGACGTCCAAGCCTAGTTGAGTTGCCACTGAGTCCAGTAGTAGAGTTACGCAGCTACCACTATCTAAGAAAGCGTAGGTACAAAGTGTTTTATCACCATTTGATAATTCGATTGGTACAAAAGCTGATTGACCTGATCTCTGACAAGCTATTGCGCGATTCACTGCAGCTTTACTAGGGTTTTTTCCATAAGTATCAGAAGGATCGTGGAGTAGAGTGTGGTGTTTTTTACCACAATTATCGGTTCGACAGAGCGATTTCGAATTGCAGTCAGTAAACCTATGATTCCCTAGACAGTTAAAGCATAAGTGCATTTTTCGGGCATGCTCTTTTCGTTGCTTAGGGTCTAAAGCTTTGAAGTGCTCGCATTTGTAGAGAGGTCCACAGGTGTCTCCACTAGGACAAGCATTCGAGTTTACATTATTCTGAGCACGAGAGTTTTGTTGATCTCCCTGATGGTTAAAGCGCTGATTTTGATTTCCTACACCATTTGTAGTAAAACCATTGAAACGGGAACCACTAGGGTGTTTAGCGTTTCCAGAAGAATTGTTAAAATTGTTATTGTTTTGGTTTCGGAAACCTGTCGGAGGCATGTCGCGACACGCCTGTGCGTACCGTTGAAACCATTGTGCTAGATGTCTCAAGGAGGGTTGATCGTAGTCTTTGTCGATGACGAAGCGATTCCATTCTAATCTCACAGGGTCGGGAAGCTTTGCCAGAGCAGTGTTCAAGTTTGTTGTAGAACAAATATCGTGAACAAAACCAAGTTGCTCAAAAGTGTCCACTAAAGTTAGGAGAAAAGCTGAAAACTGCATGTATGATTCTGGTTGAGCCAGATTTGGAGGTTTGAAATTTGCAAGACGTTGCAAAAAAGAGTTGACAATTCTATTGGTATTGCCAAAATTTTCACGAAGACGTTGTAGTGCTAGTTCGTATGTGTCGCCGTTTGCACCATAACCAGCTATCATTAGTTTAGCTGGGCCAGTTACCAATGATTGAAGATGGATCATCTTTTCAGTTGGAGACATATTAGAATTATGAATCGATGATACGAATACACCATACCAGTGCAACCAATAGTTGGGATTGCCATTGAAAATTGTAGGCTTCAGTTTTGGCACTGATCGACTGAATGTAGTAGAAGTGTCGCTTGAATTAGTTGCCAAAGCTCGATTGTTGTTGTTAGGAGGGTTTGCAGCACTAGCTTGTTGTGAGTTGTGGTTAGGAACATCACTAGCAAATGGATTTGAAAATGATTGGTCGCCTTGAAATGGCGCCGAAAGGTTGTCGTCAGAGGCAGCTGTTCTTGCATTGCCTTGAGTATTGTTGCTCATGGTTATAAGGTTGTTGTTTGGTATATCCATTATGTTTGCAGTCGGCATGGAGGTTGCGGTTTCCTGTGGGAAAATTGAAGTAGCATTTTCTTGAGCGCAGTTATTTGGAATTGTAGAAGTAGCAGGATTTGATACTTGTTTTTTCAAATATTTTTTCACTTTCATTGAAAATACTCGGATTTTCTGTTTCAACTGTACTGTCCAGTGAGAATGTTCTTCAAAATCGTGTTCAGAACCAGCCTGTAACATTTGATCGTTCAGGGTATCAAGTTTTTGTTGGAATTGAGACAATTCAGTGAACGTTTCATTGATGAGTTCAAGATCATCTTCTTCCTCGTAGATGTTGTTTTCGAGCATGTCGATCAAAGTATTGATCTCCATTTCGTGATGACGTCGAAGCGAAACCAGTTTTCGAACGCCAGTCTCTTGAACGTTTTGATTGGTATCTTGCGTTTGGGTACCATTTTGTTCCGAAGGATCGCTGTCATTGTTTTGCGTCGTTTTATTTCTACCAGATGGGGCCATACCTTGAACCAGGAGACGTAAACCAATACCTACCAACTTATACCAGTATATGAATTTACCATTACCAACCTACCAACTTATACCGAATACCACCGATGCTCGTAAGAAGGAGCGAAATAATGGATAAAGTTTAACCAATTACCACTGTACCTTACCACTTGTACCTACCTCCGAGGGAAAATTGAGCGGTCGTTCAAAGTGTCCTCGGTATTAACAATTAACTGCGATTTTAAAGCTAGTCCAAGAACCTACCTGGTCCTACCAGCCTACCGACCCTACCTACCTACCAATTACCAGTATAAACGGCAAAAAAAACCGGGTGCAAAGATTAGCACCAATGAGTGTTGACCTCCCAGAGGACAACTGAGGATGACGTATTTACCTACCTACCTGTCGCTATTTAGCAGACGACCGAATTGTGATTGCTGACCTCCCAGAGGACAACTAAAGTTGATGTACCTGTTTACCTACCTGTCCTAATACCGTAGATTTATCCCTGTGCAATAAAATTTGCACTTATACCAGTTGACCTCCCAGAGGACAACTTGCCTTTATCGCTGTAGCGTAGCGAATGAGACGAACTAGAGTTGTTCGAAGCAGTTGATGAGCTAAACGAAGCTCGAATGTAGCCACGAACCCAGTGAGGCTCGAAGCAGCAGAGGAAATGAGCTCAGGTAAAGCTCGACAGGAAGCAGCCAAGAACCGAGAGGCTCAAAGCAGAAAATAAGGTGAGCTAAGACGAAGCTCGAATGTAGCCACGAACCCAGTGAGGCTCGAAGCAGCAGAGGAATGAGCTCAGGTAAAACTCGACAGGAAGCAGCCAAGAACCGAGAGGCTCAGAGCAGAAAATAAGGTGAGCTAAGACGAAGCTCGAATGTAGCCACGAACCCAGTGAGGCTCGAAGCAGCAGAGGAAATGAGCTCAGGTAAAGCTCGACAGGAAGCAGCCAAGAACCGAGAGGCTCAAAGCAGAAAATAAGGTGAGCTAAGACGAAGCTGGAATGTAGCCACGAACCCAGTGAGGCTCGAAGCAGCAGAGGAAATGAGCTCAGGTAAAGCTCGACAGGAAGCAGCCAAGAACCGAGAGGCTCAAAGCAGAAAATAAGGTGAGCTAAGACGAAGCTCGAATGTAGCCACGAACCCAGTGAGGCTCGAAGCAGCAGAGGAAATGAGCTCAGGTAAAGCTCGACAGGAAGCAGCCAAGAACCGAGAGGCTCAAAGGAGAAAATAAGGTGAGCTAAGACGAAGCTCGAATGTAGCCACGAACCCAGTGAGGCTCGAAGCAGCAGAGGAAATGAGCTCAGGTAAAGCTCGACAGGAAGTAGCCAAGAACCGAGAGGCTCAAAGCAGAAAATAAGGTGAGCTAAGACGAAGCTCGAATGTAGCCACGAACCCAGTGAGGCTCGAAGCAAGCGGAATAAGTGAGCTCAGATAAAGCTCAAACAAATGTCATGTCGAAGAACAATGACGAAAATTGAGAGTCCAAAAAGAACTCGAATCAGGTAACCAAGGAGTCGGGCAATAAGAAAGCAAAAGTGTCAGAAAACACTTGAAGGAAGGAAGCAATGAAGGAAGCAAAGGGCCAAGAAAGGCTCGGAAGGAATATACAAGGCGTCAGATAAGACTCGGAAGGAATGAATGAATGAGTAGGGAAAGACTCGGAAACGAACAACAAATGGGTCGAGAAAGACTCGGAAAGGAATGAAACATTGAGTCAGAAAAGACTCGGAAAGGAACGCAAAAGGCAATAAAGACTCTGAACGGAATGAAAAATGAGTCGGGAAAACTGAAGTTTTTTCATAAATGAGTCACAAAAGACTCGGAATAGCAAAGCAACAAAAAACGAATTGAAAGGGGAAAATTGATGAAAATAACTTAATACATTATTCAAAGTAAATGAAGCTATGAACAATTGAAACGTTTAAAGTTTACATGGGTTAGAAATCAAGAGCAATAATTGATCTTTTTTTTTTTTTTTAAAATGTAAATCAAATAAACTGCGATCAGTAACTAACCATAAATTTTTGGTTGTGGGGGAATAAAAAACACAGTGTAACGAGCTAATCAAAACTTTTTCGGGGCGCCAATATAATAATTGGGTAAATTACCTGAGGAGAGTAGTACACCAATTGTTAATAAGGGTAGTTTTAAGGGTTGAGTCAAAGGAGTTCCATGCAGTTGGGCATCAGTTGAGTAAGTACATGAAAAATAATACAATAGTAAATCAGGGATAAAACTAAGGTAAATATAATATCATAAATAGGGATATTATATTACATGGTACGGGGAATACTAAAAGGCGAACGTTAGAAAAGGGGAACTGTTAATAAGGGGGTTATTCAGAAAAGTTGATATTAATCCCGAGTTTTCGTATAAATTGAAACATTATTTTACCTGAAAGTTTGTCATTTCCTTGTAAGTCATGCTGTTTTTGAAAAGTTGAGAGAAACGTGTGAGTCAGCTTGGCTGTAATGTCAAAAGTCAAGTTGAGAGAAAGGTGACCTTAATTGTTTACAATTAACAACATTGGTATACTACTGATGACTCACAACAATGATCCCGAGCGCTCATTGGCTCTCAAAATGAAATAAAGATCTAACACATTGCAGTGCTTTAAGCATTGCCATATTTGGTAATATGACCAAATATGGTCATAATATAATTCTTTGAAAGATTCTTGAGCTTTTATGTAGGCTGATATAAGAATCAAAGGAGATCTACTGCAGAAAAATATCACAAAAATATTATATTTTTCTGTTGTTCAGTTTATGCATGCCCGACTAATCATTAAAAATATTGATCGCAAGTTTTCAGCCTATTGGTTCATTGACGCTGACATTAGAAAGTTTTGCAGTTTCTTATAGGAAAAACTGGAGCCGAGAGACAGCATACTTACCTGGCGCCGACCGTCCTCTGATCAAGCAGAGAGGTGGTCCAGGGCGAGGCCTCTGCATTGCACTGCGCGGAGGTTGACCCCTGCGATTTCTCCAAGTGAGAAACTCGGACGCACAATTTATTAGTGTGGGGACTGCGTACGCGCTCTCCCTGAAAATTCTGAACCATTTGAATAAGTCTTTAGCTGCAAATCTGTGGAAATATCATCATAAGGATGATTCGTTTCTGGAAGGCGGCTTCTACTTTAATTTCTCTTATTCACACTTCGTTGAAGATTCCTGTCAAAACTGATAATGAATTTTTTGATCGAATGTTGCCTAGATACACACACGTGTTTACAAGACGCGGGTTCTCCTGTCTACCAATTCGACTGTGAAGTTACAGACGGAGTAATGTACAAAGTGCCCAAGTGTCTGTATGGGATGGTTAAGTCCATACCCTACGATGATCTGGACAGGACTGGCGAGCATCGAGGGTGCAAGGGCCCAGAGGTGTTTGTGAACATAACGTTCTGGAGGCCAGATATTTTGAATGTGATTGAAAACTACGAAAGAAACATTAGGACGGAAGCTTGATCTTTAAAATGACAGAGAAACAATTTTCAAATTAGACTCCGTAACTAAGAAAAAGCTAATGGATAGATTATAGAAGTTGAGCTCAAAATGATGATTTTAAGTTTGTTTCTTTGATAAATTTCTGCTCTTACATGCTGCGAGGTGCTCATTTCATGTTTCGGCATTCTAATTCGAGCACTTGTCATTGCTAGACCGACAAAGAAAGTTCGTTACAGAATTGGTTTGCAATCAATTTTATACAGATAATGTATTTGCGCTCAGAAAATTGATACTGAAAACGACCTTTGAAAAAACTTTACAAAAACATTACTTCTCAGAGCCCCTGGAACCCTTAGTGTTGCACAATGTAAAAGGGAATCCCTTAAGCGCAATAGTTTGCGGTACAAAACTCTCCTCGAATGACTCTTGCTCTCTGTAGTTCTAGTGGAGTTTTCTTGAGTAGAAACTTTGCTCAAGAATCGAAACAAAAAAATACTTAATAAAAATCAGCTTTGTTGATAGTTTGATGATTTTCACTACTTTGCGAAAAGGTATTTAAACCGATCTGAATCCAATTTTTATGCAGTTCTATCGTAAAAATCCATTCATTCCATTCTAAATCGAGTTAGATGTCTAAATCGATTTCGATGAAGTGTATTATCTGTATAGAAATCAAATGAATTTCTTTTTTTAAAATTTCTTGAGATTTTTCAATCTCAAGTTTGTCAGTGAGGGTACCTCGCGCACGGTTGAAACAAACCACGAGCACGACCGAAATATACGTCGAGCGCGATCGAGACATACCTCGAGCACGGTCAAAACATACCTCAAGCTCGGTTGAAACATACCTCAAGCTCGGTTGAAACATACTTCGAGCACGGTCAAAACATACCTCAAGCTTGGTTGAAACATACCTCGTGCACGGTCAAAACATACCACAAGCTCGGTTGAAACATACCTCAAGCACGGTTGAACCACACCTCGAGCACAGTCGAAACATACCTTGAGCCCGGTCGAATTATACTTCGAGCACGATCAAGACATACCTCGATCACGGCCAAATTATATCTCAAGCACGATCGAAACATACCACAAGCTCGGTTGAAACATACCTCGAGCACGGTCAAAACATACCACAAGCTCGGTTGAAACATAACTTGAGCACGGTCAAACTATACCTCAAGCTCGGTTGAATCATACCTCGAGCACGGTTGAACCACACCTCGAGCACAGTCGAAACATACCTTGAGCCCGGTCGAATTATACTTCGAGCACGATCAAGACATACCTCGATCACGGCCAAATTATATCTTAAGCACGCTCGAAACATACCACAAGCTCGGTTGAAACATCCTCGAGCACGGTCAAAACATACCACAAGCTCGGTTGAAACATACCTCAAGCACGGTCAAATTATACCTCAAGCTCGGTTGAATCATACCTCGAGCACGGTTGAACCACACCTCGAGCACAGTCGAAACATACCTTGAGCCCGGTCGAATTATACTTCGAGCACGATCAAGACATACCTCGATCACGGCCAATTTATATCTCAAGCACGATCGAAACATACCACAAGCTCGGTTGAAACATACCTCGAGCACGGTCAAAACATACCACAAGCTCGGTTGAAACATAACTTGAGCACGGTAAAATTATACCTCAAGCTCGGTTGAATCATACCTCGAGCACGGTTGAACCACACCTCGAGCACAGTCGAAACATACCTTGAGCCCGGTCGAATTATACTTCGAGCACTATCAAGACATACCTCGATCACGGCCAAATTATATCTCAAGCACGCTCGAAACATACCACAAGCTCGGTTGAAACATACCTCGAGCACGGTCAAAACATACCACAAGCTCGGTTGAAACATACCTCAAGCACGGTCAAATTATACCTCAAGCTCGGTTGAATCATACCTCGAGCACGGTTGAACCACACCTCGAGCACGGTCAAAACATGCCACAAGCTCGGTTGAAACATACCTCAAGCACGGTCAAATTATACCTCAAGCTAGGTTGAATCATACCTCGAGCACGGTTGAACCACACCTCGAGCACAGTCGAAACATACCTTGAGCCCGGTCGAATTATACTTCGAGCACGATCAAGACATACCTCGATCACGGCCAAATTATATCTTAAGCACGCTCGAAACATACCACAAGCTCGGTTGAAACATACCTCGAGCACGGTCAAAACATACCACAAGCTCGGTTGAAACATACCTCAAGCACGGTCAAATTATACCTCAAGCTCGGTTGAATCATACCTCGAGCACGGTTGAACCACACCTCGAGCACAGTCGAAACATACCTTGAGCCCGATCGAATTATACTTCGAGCACGATCAAGACATACCTCGATCACGGCCAAATTATAACTCAAGCACAATCGAAACATACCTCAAGCTCGGTTGAAGCATACCTCGAGCACGGTCAAAACATGCCACAAGCTCGGTTGAAACATACCTCAAGCACGGTCAAATTATACCTCAAGCTAGGTTGAATCATACCTCGAGCACGGTTGAACCACACCTCGAGCACAGTCGAAACATACCTTGAGCCCGATCGAATTATACTTCGAGCACGATCAAGACATACCTCGATCACGGCCAAATTATAACTCAAGCACGATCGAAACATACCTCAAGCTCGGTTGAAACATACCTCGAGCACGGTCAAAACATGCCACAAGCTCGGTTGAAACATACCTCAAGCACGGTCAAATTATACCTCAAGCTCGGTTGAAACATACCTCGAGCACGGTCAAAACATACCACAAGCTCGGTTGAAACATAACTTGAGCACGGTGAAAACATAAGGTGAAGATCCCGAGGCAGGGCGGAATGGGACCGAGGCAAATTCTTGTGTAGATGGATGGTTGAAGGGGTTTCGTAAATCTAACAGGGGAGAGCTCTTGAATGTTGGGTCGAGGATGGGGGATGGTCTGGATTGTTTATGCAATTTGACTAGGTGTAGATTAACAGTTCCAGTAGGGTAAAATGTTAGATTAGTTTGCAAGTTTTTTAATTAATCATGAGATAGCTTCAGTACTTGTTGCAAAGGTTTGCACAACGCAAAACCAAAACGCAGTTGACAAAAAAATCAATTTTAAATGAGATTAAATTGAAAATCTTTTGAAGAAAGCAATATATATTAACCAAAACATAGAGAAATTTAGTTCATATCATTGTTTAAAGGGCTAGAGAATGATACATATAATGACCAGTAGCGTGTGTAGAATTTGTTCGAGGGCTTGCGGTTTGTTTCATTTGTTTTACAAAACACAAGTTCCAACATCAGTTGAGTTCGAAAAACTAAAATACAAAAATATACAAAAAGAAGGAAGTCAGCATTTTTTGAAATTTTATACAAACAACGATTTAGAGAAACTGAAAACGTCGGTTTTGATGCCGAATCGTTTGTTCCGTCAAGGATTTTGAATGAAGCAACTCATGTTAAAATTGGGATTACTTATATACTTAATTTGACAAGTGTTATCGACTCTTCGTTTACAGGTTCTAAAAGCTATTATGTCAGAGTGTAAGCAAACTACCCCTAAAACTGAGGTGTGAAAATGCATTCAAATTTGGAGGCCTCGAAGAGAAGCGCAAAATTTGAGCTTTGAAAAGCAGCCCTTGTTAAATTTCTGACTTGACATGTAACCGTCAAAAAACATGCCTCCTAATTAGACACATGATAAATTTTGATAAGGCGCTGAACTCGCTTTTGAAAAATGAACCTGGCTCTCACAAAAAGCGTATGGTAAAAATGTACCCATATGAGGGAATCTTTGGTAAAAAAAACATTACTCAAGAATTGAGGAGGGTTGATTGCCCCACCGTGCTCCCCTTGACACGCTACTGCACGTGCCTTATTTTGATAATTTTCTACGGTTCCTGGTTTTGCGTGAAAAATACGTAAAAATAAAAAAATAGATACGAAGCAAAGATCAACCATTTTCAAAGGTAGGAACATGAAAAACTAAAACAAATCAAATTATTTTGACGCTCGGAAAATGAGAAAACAATTGGAAAAATTCGTATTTAGTTTATAAGAAATGATTAAAGAAAAAATTAAAAATTGAGTTAGGACTGGGGTGTATAACTCATAGAGTAATTTCGGATAGGGTACACCGTCTGCTCGTCACGCTATCTTATTTTCGGCCGGATAGATTCGTGCAACTTCTTAGTCTAATACCGATCCTAATCTTACTCTTATACTATCTAGTCTCAGGTTGTTTAACTAGTCTCTGCTAGGCTCAATAGATCTAGGGTATACTGGTTTATTGCGGCTGCTGAAGTGCTCGGGAGAGTCCAACTAATTTCTAAGTTAAATTCAAATCTCTCTGGTGCTGAAATTACAAGTAACTTCAGCACTTACAAATAAGTGGGTTGTTAGTTAGATGGATCATGATTGGTTAATATTAAATACTTTACATTGGTAAAACATTTAATTTATCCAATCATAAAATATAGTTTAGATCAGGTTCCACCCATCCGGGTTTTACAGAGTTTTTTAGAACAGTTCTTCTGTAGTTCAAGGATGGATGATGGACGTTGGTATTTGGCGAACATCATTTTTCTTTTGTTTCCTTTTTGTTAAGGAAGTTCCAGGGATCTGGAATTGAGGACACAAGACGTTGTGTTCTTCTTGTGACAACGACTGAGTCTCTGCAACAGCATCAATTCTGGTTTCAGAATGGTTGGCTATGTCAGGTTTTTCTGTTCTTCGGAGAGAACTTCTTTTGTGTTTGATCTAGCTCGGGAATGGCGTGGAGATTGTGCATGGAGGGGATGCCTGGTTACTCGGATCTGTACGTATACTTGAACATCGAGGTGGTCATTGGTCTAGTTCAATGAAGTCCTTTTCTGCGAAGTCAAGTCGTACTCTAAATCCTTTGAGTTGTGATTGTGAGCGGCATATCGATTGTAGTTGGTCATTCTCTCTCGAGTGTAGTGAGGTCGTCTTGTCTTTTGATGTTCGTCCTTGGTGTTGTATTCTGATCTATATATTGCATCATGTGATTTTACATTTTATAAAACTTTTATTAGTTTAATATTTTTTAATAATGATTTTAGTTAGTTGTTTTCACAAAAGCTTTTTGTTTTAGTTCGGTTATTTTGAAGAGTTACTCACCCTTGAGTAGCTCTTATTAAAAATAAAGGTGTGGTCACAAAGCGTGGATGTAGCGCGGTGGGTTAGGCCGGCTATAGAGCATGCTCAGGACGT